TCACCTCCCTTGAAAAAGAGGAGTTACATTAGCTAACTTGCAATCCTCTGGTACCTGCCCACTATTCAAGGACTTTCAAAACAAATAGTAGCAAGTGGGTCACATATCCAATCTATAACCTACTTCAAAACCCTTAGGGAAATATTATCTGGCCCAGGAACCTTATCGTTCTGTAAACTTCCCAATTTTTTTTAACCAGCTCAGGATTAATGCGGTCATCTTGTTTCCATCTATCAACTGTTCAAGATGTGGAATACTGTTTAAATCTTCATTAATAAAAAGGAAGAGAAAGCAAAAAAGACAATTCATCCTAATTTCTCTTTCAGCCTAGTAGTGGAGGTTTCAAAGAAAATTGGTTTTTTGGATATAAATAACCATTTGTTTGTTATTAAGCACAAAGCTACACAAAGGGCTATCTGTGCTATGCCCACCACGGGTATCGAAACCCGGTTTCTAGCGTTGTAAGTCCGCAGACATACCGATGTGCCATTGGGGGGCAGGATATAAATAACATTTGCCCTAATAAGTCTTTTTAAATTTGTTTTGTTCAATTTCAATTAACAAGTGAATAGCATTTTTTTTTTAAATTGCTTGAATAAAATATTGAAGCCACAACCTTTCGACAATAGTTTTCAAGAGGTTTATCTGAAGACTAACTAACAAAAGGTCAATTAAAAAAAAAACAATGTGGCTGAAACTTTAATCCAAACTTATACGTTTAACAATAACAATAAACATCGCTTTAGACAGTATTTAATGTCTTTTGTTTGTTTTAGTGCAAAGCTACACAATAGGCTCTTGTAAGAGATTAAATATAACGCTGACCCACCGCGGTACATATTGATGTATATCCCCCGCGTTACCTAGCAACCTAGGATTTTTTTCTAGTTGACGAACAGACGACTTGTGCACCGCTTTAACTATAGCAATGTCCATAAAACAATAAAGCATCATAAGACAAGCCCTTTTTGAGAAGGGGTTGGAAGCAAACTGATACATTATTAATTACTCCTATTCAGTTAGGGGCGCTCGACTCGCAATCTGCAGGTCGCGGGTTCGAATCCCCGTCACACCAAACATGCTCACCGTTTTAGCCGTGGGGGCGTTATAATGTGACGGTCAATCCCACTATTCGTTGGTAAAAGACTAGCCCAAGAGTTGGCTGTTGGTGGTGATGACTAGCTGCCTTCCCTCTGGTCTTACACTGCTAAATTAGGGACGGCTAGCACAGATAGCCCTCGTGTAGCTTTGCGCGAAATTCATAACAAACAAACAAACCTATTCAGTTGATCTTATAAAACTTTTTTAAGATTTAAATTAAAGAGGGAATTCTTGTGTATTAACACTTAACAAAATATCACATTTTTTTTACCTTAAAGACCTACAAGTCACCGTAGCTGACATCCACTTTTCTCACAACACGTATAGTTTAGTAATTGTTGACAAAGTTGTATAACTGAAAAAAGGGGAACTTTAGGGGCACAAGTATAGGAAGGCAGGTGCTTGACCCCACCTAGCCACCATCTCTCTGTTTTCGTCACTGGTACCCCCCCCCCCGCACTTACAACACAAGTACCGGGTTTCGATACCCGTGATGGGCCAGGCACAGATAGCCCGTTGAGTACTTTTTTTTGCTTAACAACAAACAACAAAAACGTCACTGGTTTTTAAGAAAATGATATTTAGGGTTAACAATATTTGAAACATCCCATGAAATAGTATTTAAGTATCAATTTAATGGCCACTCATTTCTGAACATGAAAGGCGTGAAAGGCGTAAAGTTTTATTTTCACAAAGATGGAAACTACTCGTTCTTTATGAGTTGAAATAATAATAATGCTTTTATACTTGAAGACGTGTAGTTCAAATGGACACCAATTGGAAACTTAGACGTTAATAAAAAAAGACACCAACAAAAAAATCGAAAGATGGCGACGACAAAACCTGGTACTTTCAAGAAACTATCCTAAGCCAGCGACCTTTTAGTCATTTAGATATTTACAATGAAAAAAGTATAATCTAGTTTAAGTGGATCAATTTAGTAATTTAGACGTCAGAGTTTGGCACACTAAAATCATAAATATGAAAAGAGAAAACCTGGAATCTACCAACAAAGAATTTCAAAATGGCGACAAGAAAACCTGGAATCTTTCCTGAAATTATTTCAGGCCAGCGACCTTTTAGTCATTTAGTTATTGAATAACCATTAAAAGTCGTACCAGCATCTAAATGGTATCTACAAATGTATAATTACGCCATTCATAAGTTTAATAATGCATCATCATTATCATGGCAAGTTGTAATTTATAGATAGGCTTAGCGATGTCTTCAGCCCCTCACGTACACTCTACGAAGACGGAAAGCTTATATTCTGCATTTTGACGGACGTCATTATACATTTCGAGCACATTCGTCTATATGATACGTGTTAAAACGTATTAAGGCTGTAATGTTAAGACTCTCTTTCAACCTCAGTCTGTAGGCAGCACGTGGGTGGGAATGCTAAAAAAAAAAAAAGCTCACGTTTTGGAGATGTTCTGTTATTTGACACAGCATATTAGAAGTTCCTGAAATTACAGGGCAGTGGCCGCTGGCGGGAGTTTTTCACGTTTCACTTTCACACCATACAGGTTGCTATGCGATGGGTTTAACGTACCTTAGATGCGTTGTTTCAAGGTATAGCGGCATATAGGAAAAGCAAAAAAAAAAAATCCTTTCAAGAGACATACACAGACAAATCTTTACTAAAATAACCGCTAAAACACCTAGCGTTATTTCAAAAAATGATACTTCTCCCCCCCCCCCACAGTGATGGCTCAGGGATAAGTATGAAGACTTCTAACTCTAAAAACCAGGTTTAGATACTCGTGATGTACACAGAGCCCATTGTGTAGCTTTGCGCTTAACAACAAACAAACACACATGGCCAGGCGGTTCGGGCGCTCGACTCGCAATCTGCGGGTCGCGGGTTCGAATCCCCATCCCACCAAACATGCTCGCTCTTTCAGCCGTGGGGGCGTTATAATGTGACGGTCAATCCCACTATTCGTTAATAAAAGAGTAGCCCAAGAGTTGGCGGTGGGTGGTGAGTTTGGTCGGGAACTTCGATTGCCAGTGGATCTGTTAACAGGACGCCCACCTTATGAAGAGTTGCCTGAGAATGTGTCAGAGTTTGTGAAAGTGTTATCGGAAAGGATGGATGATATTCACCATCAAGTTCATTCAAACTTGAAAACATCTGCTGATTCGAGGAAGCTATCTTATGATAAGAGATCTACTGAAGTCAGCTTTGTATCAGGAGACAAGGTGTGGTTGTATAATCCCAGGAAGACCAAAGGGAAGTTGTCTTCTCCATGGGAAGGCCCATATTACATAGTGGATCGTCTCTCAGATGTGACTTTCCAGATAAAATGTGGTCAGCGAGGTAAGCCAAAAGTGGTGCATGCCAACAGGCTTTGGCGTTATCACAGTTCAGTCTTAGACTCCTTACCTTAAGAAGGACATTGAATTTTTTGAAAGGGTTCAGAGAAGGGTTACTAGAATGGTGCTTGGGAAGAAGAGTTTGTCATATGAGGAGAGATTAAGATATTTATAACTGTTTTTTCTTGAAAAAAAAAAAGAGTTAGAGGGAATCTGATTGAGGTGTTTCAGATTGTAAAGGGAATTGATAGTGTTAATGCATCATCTTTTTTCATACTTAACAGCAAAAATAGTGGGACTAAGGAATGCAAATTTAAATTTTGGCAAGGTAGGAGTCATCTTCAGCTAAGACAGTTTTATTTTCCTAACAGGGTGGTTGGCCTTTGGAATGGGTTGCCTTTGGATGTTATGAAAGCAGTAAATTTAAGTGAGTTAAAGAGAAAGGTAATAACTATATGGAGGGGCAGATTGAGCCACTGGGTAAGATCCCAGTGGGCCAATGATTCCTGGGATAGTGGAGTGATAACCTGGTTATATTGTTCCAGTGCTACCAACTAACCTACTGTACATCTCTCTTTAAATATATATATATATATATATCATCTTGATTTCTGAGTATTTGCCCGGGCTGTTTTAGGCTCCCAATCTGCCCCTGACTATATGAACAATAAGGGCTGGCTTTAATTCTGTTATTTTTAATTCATAATAGTTTAGTTCAGAGGATGGAACAGCTGAGATGGACCAACAGTCCCTTGTTGTCCCTAAACATTATGTTATGTATGTTATATGATATTTTCAGGGAAGTAAAATAGAAAATAACATTTACCGAATGATGTAACATAAAAAACTTGAATCAAAACTTTGTCATTTCGTTTGTATATATTGCTGAATCCTTAGTTTTTGATTTATTAGGATGGTTGTACTTGTCGTATAATAAGGGATACCATACAAACATTTTATTTTAGATACAACTTGCTCAAACTAAATCACTCAAATCAAAAACAAAACTTTCATAATTTTATTTGCTTTTAATGCAAATGTTTAATAACCAATAGAAATATGGGATAATGCTCAGTCATTTTAGTAATTAAGCAAAATTAAATTAAGAAAGAAAGTTATTTCCAAGTTGTCCAGATGTTTAAAGGAATCCTTATAAGTTTTTCTTCATCAAGATTTTATTCAGTATAGATATCTCTTTTTTCTTCTTTTTTTTTCTAACCCAGAGTTATAAGCTATTAATATTAACTTCTTTCTGCATAGATCAAAATGTTTGTGACTTAGACAAATAATATATTGCAGTATTACACAGTTTAGAGTACACTAACATATAATGCAGATACAAAAATTCTTGTAAATCTGTATTTATATATCAAAAACATAGAACTAAATTGTTTTAATCAATAAATACTAAGAACAGAAAGAGTTTGACAAATATATTTCATACTTTAAAACAAATACCACACAGTTTGTTGATGCAGAAAAGAAATGTTAGAGTACTTACAGGAATACCTTTCTCTCCCACACAGATGCATGGCTGAACTTGACAACCTTTACAGGCCTACACATAAGAAAATTATTAATTAATACTGCTATGCAGAAATACAACACTAAATTTAGATCTAAATCATTACACTTTCATTTAGACAACAAAAATATAACATAACAATTTAGTTAAGGTGCCACCAAAGTTACTTTTGCAAAATAAAGTTCTTAGAATAAAAATTAATTAATCATTTATGTAAAACTTATATTTGATTTTTTTAAAGTGAATTTGACAGTATATATATATATATTATTTTCATTCAGATCTACATTTTTCATACATTTTATGTTAAACATTTTAGTTACAGTACCCTCCTAATACTATAATCCTTGATAAAAGATTACATTATGAAAAAATTAATACTAGTGCTCAAAGTGAGAAAAAATAAAAAGGGTGGGGTACTCTTTATGAGAAGAAAGTGTTGGTATTGGATAGCTTTGATTTTAAGAAGTAGGCCAACTAGGTATGCCATACCCCCTCACTTCGAGCACTGATCAACACTATAAATATCTATACTTGTCAGCAGGAAAAATTATTTCACTACAAATGTGCATGGTCACTTGGTTAATCTTATATTACTCTAGTCAGAGTGAACAAGAAATATGCTAAAAGTTCAGACTTCATTTAACTCCTTTATTGGCGTGTAATAATGAAATTAAAAGTTATTCAACTCTATATATATCAACAAGAAAGTAATAACCCAAATAACAATTCATAAAACTGCATTTTAAAATGAATAAAAAGGAAAAGCTTGAGAACTAAAAAGAGGTACAAAGTACCAAAACCATGAAGATGTTTTATTAAGCTGCATTATCTTGTTCACCAACTAGACAGTAAAATACAAACTGTCTTGTGAAGATTAATTTATAGTGCGATAATCAGTCATGCAACTATACATATAATTGCAAGAAGGGTGCTGCTTAGCCTTCCCATACTTGAAGTTCGCCCACACAAGAGCCTTGACAAAAGTGTCTGTAATTTTATCTATTAATGCAGGTTCACATCTTTCAGGCAGCACTAGAGGTAATTATTATGTCACTGTCAACAATCAGAGATTATATCCTATTTAGCCTTGATAAAAGGATCACATGGCAATGCAGACATATATTGTGAAAGATAATACTCTAATACTTAAACCAAATTTTCTGTATCACCAAATCCAACTATTTACTACATATATATATATACTTTCCATAATTTTACATTTTTGATTAAATAAAATAATTATTTTTTGTAATATCAGTTACATATTAATTTATTAAACAAAACTGCAGCAAATGAATGAGGTAATTGCATTATTTTATTTATAATTTGGTTTGGACTTAGTAATATTAATCTCTAGAACACTTAAACTAGTACATTCAACTTTTCTGTTTAATTATTAAAGTACCTAATTCAAAAGTAGTAAATTAAAAGTCTAGTTGGGCATTCTAGCTATTACAGGGATGTGATACAACAGTGGATTCAATAATTCTATGAATATACAAGTTCTGGTATAGTATCTATCAGAATGAGATAGGCAGAACAATATCTTAACTTGTAGCTTTTACAATGTAGTATATATATCTTTAAAAATGTTCTAAATCAACCCTCAAGGGATTGATTTTGAAAATTAGAATGAGGTTTTTAATAACCATTTTAAATGAAGTATGAAAAAAGAAGGCAACTTTTCAAACTGATTTGGTTAATTTTAAATAAAAACCCTAAATATCAAAGTTCAATACAATTATCCATTGTAAACTAAGAACCTCAGTACTGTAGAAAAACACGAGTTTATAAAAATATATTATATAGAAATATTGTAATGACTAAATATGTTATTTCACAGTCCCATTAGTTGTACTAATGACAGTCTTTACATATATACGTATATAAAATTATTTCCTGACATCCAAAAATAAAATAAAATTAAGGCTAACGCACTTTATTGATTAATGTTAATCACCTCGACCTTTTCTTATTTGTGAACACACATCTATTAATAATGTAAAATATCCCCTTTACAGATTTATTGCCTTTTAGTAAAATTATATTCAGATTTTACTCCAATAACATTTAAAATTGATAGGCCTATACTGTATTTATATTATCTCATTTTGAATTTTAAATTGGAGTACGTACAGCACATTATCTTCACGTTTTTATACACATATTTTCATATTCACATATTTTAATAAAGAGTAAACTTTTCACATTTAAAAGGGTAAAGTTTAAAAATTAGAAATAACTGCAAATCACTAGAAGGTTAACACACATATAAGATGGCCAGAATCTAGTTTAAACTACTAAACACAATGAACAATTTATAAATGAACAATCATTATCTCCAGATAATGATAATGTACATATATGTGTGTGTGTGTGTATTTCCATAAATTTAGGTTTTACACCTTCATTTTGAATAATAAATAAATAAAGGAACTCCCCCTTATGCGGAAATAAAGTATATCTATTTGCAAAATATTCCAGCCTGTGCTACTTGGTATTTCCTATTTTCAATGGGAACGACAACTTAACCAACACATGAGCTATATTCTTAGGCTAGAGGCCCACTGTTCAGGCAGAGCCATTCTCAACTGAGCAGAGGAAGGGCATAGGCCAGTATCTTCCGCTGCCATCATGGTTACTCTTAACCCAGTAAAATAACTGACAGTCATAATTATAAAGCCCCAAAGCTGAAAGTGCAGAGCGTGCTCCCCAGGAACTAGCGGATCGAGCCTTGGATCGTACAGTCCCAAAACTAGCATGCTAACCACTTACCACGCCCGATCTCTATTGCAATACAAAATCTCAATAAAAATGATATATATATATAATAATGATAATAAATAACAAATCTCGTTAACTATTATTAAGGTATAGCCATTCATAATTTTGAGCTACTAACAAGAATGAAGCCAACGAGCCTTCAGCACCTGCCGTCACAAATGCTTTGTTAGGCTCTTTGACCCGAATAACAAGATTGACTGTCACTTTTATAACGTGCCTACAGCTCGTATCTCTCAAATAACCAGATAAAAGTATTAACTAATATACTACAGGTACGGAATTTATATCACTATTGCAAGCGGTACTTTCATTAAAGTTATAAAGAAGCGTTATTTTAAAATATTTTGAAATAACAAAAGTTAATATTTTCTAAAACTGGAATCACACTACAAGCGCCATGATTAATAATAAAATTACAAAACAACAAAGAAACAGGGTAGTTAATGTAAGCCTGCCAATTTATATATATACTGCCTTGATCACCAAAGTAAAACAGACAGAAATAAACACTTGACGCAAGCATTTTTACGTACCCCTAACTGTAAAAAGAGTAATAGTAATTATTATTACTTGACCCGTAAATCAAAAAAAAAATTATCTTAAAATTCCGATCCTCTCAAATGGAAATCGTAGAAAAGTATCAGAATAATCTGAGCTACTTAGTTAGTGAACAAACGTTGTCAAAAATGGTTCTGTTTTTCTTTCGATTTATGCACGACTATGTACTTAGTAATTTGACCCATGAGTTTTGTTGAAGTACTTAATCATATTGTGTTCCCGAGAATTTTCAATGACACTTAACATCAAATTATGACTATAGTTTATGTGACTTTCTGATAGACATTAAATAAAAAAATCGCTCACTCGTCAAAAAATACTCTAATATATATATATATATATAAATATATACACACACATATGTATTTTACCATGTTTTTAGTTCTTTGAATTATAGTGTGTTCACTAGCACAATCATTAGATGATTATAGAGATTACCATATATGTACATTTCACTGAAAGAAGTGACATCCAAGTCCCTGTTACTATTGGCCTCTATATTACAAAGATAGCATAGCTGAGATTATATTAGAATAGTGCAGAACGATTATATTGATTACAACACAAAAGTTGTGAGAACATCAAACATTCCAGACGCAAGTGTTGTGATTATTTGCAAAACATTCCCTTTTAATCTATACCTTAAACAAACGTGCCTAAAACATCGCACTTAGACAACTGTCTTTCAAAAAAAAAAACAAAAACTATACGATATTTCTAAGTTGCCTTTCCAGACAACTTGGTATTTAGAGGAAAAAAGATGAGCGGAGTATAACCTGCAACATCATACTTAGACACTAATTCTTAAAAGAAAACTATATACTGTATCTTAATTTTCTTTCAAAACGACCAGATATTTGGAGGAAGAAAGATAGGGGAATATTGCCTGCAACATCATACTTAGACACTAATTCTTAAAAGAAAACTATATATTGTATCTTAATTTTCTTTCGAAACGACCAGATATTTGGAGGAAGAAAGATAGGGGAATATTGCCTGCAACATCATACTCAGACACTAATTCTTAAAAGAAAACTATATACTGTATCTTAATTTTCTTTCGAAACGATCAGATATTTGGAGGAAGAAAGATAGGGGAATATTGCCTGCAACATCTTACTTATATATTCTTGAATATATATATTCTTTTCAGACAACTTGGTATTAGTGTGGGGAAGGGGGAACACTGAACTCAGAAACTAGGTTATATGTAGGTCAATTTCTCAGCAAATCAAAAGAAAGTCATTTCAGTTTATTCATTTTTACATCTTGTCAGTTTCCAGCTGTTGAGATATGACTCAAATTATGTCTTTGCGATATGGAATATCATATTTCAAACCCCCTCTTTTCAACCGGAAACAGCTGTTCTGAGTAGTCCCCGTTCTTCGAGGCTCTCTTCAAATAAACAGAATATTAACCACCCGCTGTGAAATTGTTGAAAGAGTTAAAAGTTTCAGGTTGCTTTCCTTCTAAGGACTTGGGTGAATGACGTTACGATGAGGAAGAAATATGTATTTTTTTCTTATATCAGACGAACGCCAAATCAGTCAATATTTAATCATACTTCGAATAGTATCAATATATTGAGTTTGTTCGTTTGTTCGTTTTAGATATTTGTGCTCTGTCCACCACGGGGTTCGAGCCGGGAATTTTAGCGTTGTAAATCTATAAACGTACTGCTGGCCCAC